TTCCAGGCTGGTATTTTGTTCGGGCTGTCGAACAGGATTTTGAACTCGGTGCGAGGAGAGATTTAGTAACTCTGTCGGACGTCCCTGCGCAAGCAAGCAGAGTTATTTTTGATTGAGCAAATCTAGCTAAAATCGTCTAAGGACAGAGGTCGGTTGTACTCGTGGAATAGGGAGATTGTACCTACTATAGTTCGGATGGAGTTCGGGTGTAATTGGTCGGTGGTGATGTCAAAGAACTTAATTATTTCTATAATGAATGGGTGGAGCGGGAAGCGCAACCCAACCATGAGCTTCTCTTCGAAAACCGCGAGCACATGGTGACCATGAACCCAAGGGTACCGACCTAAAGGAATACTGAAATCTAAGTTATCGGGAAGACGGTAACGAGCTACAAAGGACAGTAGCCTGCCTGAAGTCATCTGGATCTCGACCCCGAGAAGAAGACGGGACCCCCTCTCTGGAGGTCGGTCCCTCCTCCTGAGCTACAAGCTCCTCGGGTCGAGATGGCCTGACTTCGGGTAAAGAGGTTTCTCCTAAAGGGCGAGGAGGGGAACTACCTAGCGAGGAGCTGACCTCGCCAGCGGGAGTCGAGGACTGCATCTCGACACCTTCAAGCCCACTAGAGTCACTAAGAAGCCTATCTATTGTAGACATATTGAAACAGGAATAGGAAATGAGAACAAACTAAGGAAGAAAAGACGAATTCACCAAAAAAGACGAGAACGACCTCAAAACACAAGGGGAGAAGTGGCGAGCTGAAGGACTCCGACGCGACCTCGAGAGAGCTCAATCACAAGATTTTTGGCAAAGAAGAGGGGCCCCTCGGTCCCTAGTTATAGCTCATTGCGTGGCGATCAACGGTTGAGACCTACTCGATCCAACGACTCTCATGAAAACCGGTTGCACGACACTTGAGGACGAAATCGGTTGAGCGCACTCTTTGACGCCCGCGCGTACCCGGGACGTGATCTGGGTCATTTTGTGGTTGAGCCAGACAGTTGAACAGGCCTGACCAGCGGTTCGCTCTTCAGATTGTCAGACCCCGCGCCAAATCTACCTAGATCGTCCATGAACTCCTTGCACCAGGTTGGGACCCCTAGTACGAGGAGTGGGGGGCAATTGATGAAGGGTGATTTGGCGCGACCTAGCGAGAAGGGGACACGTGGACATGACCTGACTAAGAGATGACAGCTCAGCTTGGCAAGCCTAGTTCACAACAATTGAGCTCGGGTATTCCATCACCTCGGCACAGAGTCACCTCGGAGCAGAGTCACCTAGCATTCAATCCAGTTCGGAACTAAAAGATCGAAGTATCAACTCGGGGCTACCAACCCAGACCACCACGTAACAATTCCGGGAGTCCCTCCAACAGACTCCGAACCTCATGGGATCACACCGCATAACGGCAGGCCTAATCCTCTCCCGCCCGGATTGGGCGAAATTGATAATCTTTATTAGTTGATAACGTTACTCCCCATCCGGACAAAGATCTGGGAATCAATCCGCAAAACCCGTGAAGACTCAACTATATAAAGGCACCAACCCCAATGACACAAGGTACGCATGATTTTTCTACTCTCTAGCTCACTAAGCTCTCAAAGCTTTTCAGCTCACATAAGTTTACTGGCTTAAGCATCGGAGCAACCTTGTCGGGTTAGCCACCCCGGGTTCTCTGATCATTTCTTGCAGATTCACCTAGCTCGCTGTCCGACTGGAAGCCAGATCATCCTCCAGCAGGGAGTAGTTAGATCATGCTACATCAAATCCCATCTTCGTCTTTCAAGGAAACCATTCTCTGTTGCTTTGCCATCTCATTTACATTAGAATCTATAGTTTTTCTCCTCGATCATAGAATCAAGCCTACCTTACTTACATTATTAACCAAATGCTAGTTCTAACATCCAAGTATGGGATAATCAAATTCGAAGTTGAATTGTGTGTCGGGCTTTCGGAGTCCAGTGACAACCCTAGCAGATAGGGCCCAAGCCAGCAACCCCTATTAAGTTAAACTTAGAAGTTATATGCATATATGGTAAATATTATTATATAAGATTTAGATAACAAATATATATATATATATATATATATATATATATTATTTTTTATACTAGACTATAATTAAAAAAAATTAAATTTGTAAAAAAACATAATTTTATAATTAACACGGGCAAGCTTGTAGGCCCAAACAAATATTATTACACTTAAGGTGTGGGCTAGGTTAGGCAAGACGACCTTAAAAACTACTAATACAATATCAAAATTTTCATTGGGTTACAAAATGGGAGTAGCCCATCATTTATAGTTCCTTTGGCTTCAATATTATTATATAAAAATAGTTAAATAAAACCCAAAAATAATGCATGCATGGGTTACACTAGGTTTGGTTTAGTCCAATTATGAATGTTACAATATGTGCAACTTTAGTGGGTTGGTTTAGGACGAGGATCAATCAAAGCCTAATCCAAAGTCTTAAATCTTAAGTTTGGGCTAGATTAATTTAATTATAACTATAACATAATCTTATATATCCATTGATCTTTAGGTATTTTAAATATTTATAAAAAATTGAAACATTAAATCATTAATAAAGTAAAATAAATAAAATAGAACACTAGCAAATAATATGGAAAAATAATTATTTTATTAAGTAATTAGTAATAATTTATTATTTTTGTTAAAAAATATTAATATACTTAATCCAAATTATTAAATTAGTAAAACATTTCCGTAACAAATTATTAAAATAAAGATTTAATTATTTTAAATAACATTGCATTTTTTCCTTAAGCTCAGCTTAGAAAAAAATACAAATACAAATATATATAGTATAAATACATACAAAATAGTAAAAAATTTAAGGTTTTGCACTCTACATATTTGTATTTATACTTTTTCCAATTTGAGTCTTACTTATATGAGTTTTGGGGCCAATTTGGCGTGTCTTTTTGGGAAGATCTTCTGGTAGCTCTGACAGTCAAAAGACACATTGAGCTTTTGCATTAAAATTTGAGAAGTCCGAAGCACGTTTGGTAGATGCACGTCTTTCTGTGCGAGATTAAAACACGAAAAACGTGAGAAGTTTCATTTGAAGCTTCCCGAAATTAGCCTAAAATGGACTTTTCGTGTCTTTTTGGTGTTTCGTTTTTTGGCGGTTAGATCTTCTGCGTGTCAAACGGAAATAAACCAAAAATCAGTCTTTCTGGCTTGTAAACAACCGAAAGACTGCACGGAAAGACATGCCAAAACAGTCCACTTTATATTATAAAGGATAAATTACAAAGACCCTTAGCTTTCCGTTGGAATTGACGGTTACAATATTTTTTTAATCCCCGTACTATCCTTATGAAAAAACACTGTTCATCTTCCCGAACACCCTGGCATGGCATAGACGAAGCATTTACCTGGAGAGAACAACCAAAGTAGATATTGCCAGGAAAAATAAGAAAAGAAACATGGACCTTAGAGATTCTCACCTTGCTAATCTTTGGAACAACAAACCTAAGCATGTAGAGCTTGTCATTCAATTCTGTCTTCCTCCTCTTCTCCTCTTCTTCCATGTAGAGCCTGTCATTCAATTCCATCTGTCGCTAATCTTTGGAACAACAGACCCAACACCTCCTCGTTGTTCTTCTTCCAATTCCGTCTTGCCCTTGCTCCCTTCAACCATAGCTGAATCTTGACCACCTTCCGAACCAAAAAACCCCAAGTTGCCCCCTTTGTCCGCTGCGGCTGAATTCTTCTGGAGAGCAACTCTCTTCTAGAACAAGGTGGGCTGTGCGCCGATAGGAGGGAAAATTTCGAGAGGTCTCAAAACTTTAGACCTGTTGGGGAACATGTTATTAGCAGAACCCTCAAAACCTCCGAAATCAGTCGTATTGAAACCAATACCCATAGTGGTGCTATCTCCACCAAGGGCAGCAATCGGGTGGTTGGAAATTGTGAATTAGAACAAAAATCGGGAGTATCCATCTGACCCTGCGAACTCAACCCGCTAAACCCATTTAAAACACTTGCTCCCTTGCTCATGAGAACAGAGGAACTTGAAGTCTGGTTCCCTGCTCCCCTTCTCATGAGAACAGAGGAACTCAAACCCACCGAACTCATTTAAACACGGACAACGGAGAATAGGAAGATGAAGAGTCGGCTGGTTTTGGATGCTCCGCTGTAGTAGACTCTCCACTGTAGGAAGACGGAGAACAGGAAGACGACAGAGAACAGTAGACTCTCCGCTGCAGTAAGGTTTGAAGGGAAAGCAATATCTTTGATTTCTGGATGGTTTTGGACACTCTGGAAGAACTCACCAAAACGTTTGGGGCTGGAAGGAGCGCTGAAGTAGGGGGAAGAGCAGGCGCTATCGAGTTCCTTACCAGATAGCCTGTCAATCTTGGCCAGGAGCTCAACAAACTTCACGGCGATGTGGGAAGTGTGGCAATCGAGCATAAGGGCGTAACCATTTTCGATTTGGCCTGGGTGGTTCATGATGATGACCTGGGAGGTGAAGCTGGCAGCTTCCTTGGCAAGATCGTCCTTGGGACAGAGAGAAAGAATGAGAGAGGACACGACGAAGGCATAGGTGTGGCAAGCCAAAGGAGTTGGAGAGAAAGAATGAGAGTGGAGGTGAAGGTGCTGCAAGCCAACATGAGACAGTGCCACGATGGTTCATTTCAGAGAGTTGGGAGAGAGAGAATGAGAGAGGACGATGAGGAAGGGGAAACGAAGAGAAAAAGGAAAACAATAGATTTTAAGAGAAAAAGGGAAAAAAAAAGAAAATAGAAAAAGTTTAATAGAATATTTTGGTAATTTAATGTATTCCGTCATTTGACTTAACGGTTAAAGGGGTTTTTGTCTCATGATTATAGTACAAAGGGTCTTTGTCTCAAAATACAGGGGTCTTTGTAATTTACCCATTGGCGCCACCGCTAGTTGATGTACAAACGTCATAACACGTGCAAGGCAACGCGACACACACGTGCATTAGAAATGATAAGCACTTCCCTTATTTGCAAGTGAAAGCACTGGACGGGCGTAACCTTTCTCCCGACTGCTGGGGTTTCTTTAGGGTTTTAAACTTCTCATCGTTTCTCGCTGTGAGGATAATCATGGCGAAGCCCGGTCGAGGTCGACCGGCGACCCCCTCAGGGTCTGGGTCAGGCTCGTCATCTCCGTCTCGCTCGTCTTCTGGTTCGGATTCTCGCTCTCGTTCGCGTTCTCGGTCGTTCTCCAGGTCTCGATCCAAGTCTTTCTCCTCGTCTTCCTCTCCATCACGGAGCGTCAGTTCTAGCCGAAGCCCTCCGCCACAGAGAAGAAGGTTATTCTCTACACACGTCCTTCCTCTTTCGTTTCTGTAAAATTAGGGTTCTCGTAGCTTCATGTGTTTCATTATATGTCAAAATCATTTTTATTTTGAACAAAATCCGACCATATTGTAAGGATTCATACAAATGTCTATTGCTTAGGGAGCTTCTCTAGCGGTGTAATGCCCAATTGTGGGTTTCTAGTGCATATGCCGTAATTTTTGGTTTTCTAAAATAAATTGGTTTGTATGGTTGCAATGGTTAGGGTTTCATAGTCTTTAAGTGTCATTCTTTTGTTTCCTTAACAAGTTGGGAAGGTATGCAGATAATATTTTGGTTTCAGCATTGTTCTTTCCATGAGTGGGTTTCTGCAGGGTTTAGATGGTTTTGATATTTCGTACACAAACCAGGCATTATTTCTTGATTTGGGATTTCTTTTCTCTCTTTTCTTTTTCAGTGCACTTGAACAGTTTACAATTTATAATGACCAGTGTGATGCCCATAAGGAACAACCTAAATTGCTGCAGAAAGTAACCAAAGATTTATTTTAACAACGAATATGTTACAAAACCGTTTTTTCTTTTGCTCTAAGTATGTGGTTGGTAAGCAGGAGTTAACCATGGTTTCATTGTCTTGTTAATTCAATTAATTTGTCTTTTTTCTGAGATGTTTTTTTAAAATATCCTTACATGTCATATGTTTAAAAACTACAATACATTGGCAATAATCCATTGTTTACAAGTGTTACATATTGTTTGCATAACTTTTTGAAGCAAGTAGGCTGGTATTTTTGATGATTTTATGATTATTTTTCCTCTATTTCACTGAAAATATGTTTTTAACCCAAGGCGCATGACTAATGTCATATTCTTTATTTATATATTCAGTCCTTTAGGGGCAGGCAGGCGTGGTCACTCTCCGCCGCCACCAACTAAACGAGCTTCACCACCTCCAAGGTAAAGATTACCTGTAAATGGCCATCTTAATGTTGTAAACTTTCATTCATTTCATAAAATTCTGCCAGTTTTGAAGTGCCTTGTTTTTTTGGTAGGTGCTAAGGGAAGTGATTGGATGTATTTTGTTCTTTTAAAACTTCTCAGTTTTTTTGATAGGTATTTGTCATAAATGTCTTAGACAAGGTTCAAAATATCGATACGCCCGATATGCCGGTAGTGGCGCCCGATATGCCGGTAGTGGCATATCGGGCAGTACCGGTAGCCTTTTTTTATTTTTTATTTTTTTTCGAATCTGGTTCAGAGGGGCCGTTTTAAGGTCCGTCCACCCTCTGAACTGGTCGGGACCCCAAAACACCCCCTGTAGGGGCATATCGGGAAGTCCCCGATACGATACGACCTGATACGTATCGGTACTTTGTTCTTAGAAACCATACAAAAGGAGGATTGCATATTCATGTTTAAAAGGTCTAACTATTTACCACTAAGATAATAAATTGGTCAATATCAATTAGAGAAAGTGAAAAGGAAAGAACATAATAATATGAGTTTGAGAGATAATCTTTAAGTTCTCTCATGGGATTGGCTATGCTTTGTCATATTCTTGCTTTTCTGATAATCCCTCGTGTAAAGGCAAATCTAAGTAGTGTGTTTTGTCCTTTGTTTTACAAAATTTAATGGAAGTCCATCTTTACTAAACAAAGAAAGGTACCATGGAACCTGTGTTTTAAAAGCGAAAGGTGCAAAAAAGGCACAAGGGCCATTTTGTGCTCGTGCGCCTTTTTGAGGCAAGGTGTACAATTTAAAAAAAGCTAAAAAATTAAAAAAAATGCCAAAAATTTATAAAACATAATATTAATAAAAATATAAACTTAAATTTTAAAATAAATGTTTTAAAAAAGAATTATCTAAAATTAAAATAAATAAATATAATATGTAAAGCATATTCAAATGAGAATTTAAAAATGAAATCTAACATATAAAACCCACAATCTCTTTTTTCTCAATTAAATCAAGTAGCTACTGTGACATATTACATTCCTAATTCTTGCCACGCCCCTCGAGGCGACCGAAGCTTCGTGAACCCCCTATTTGGTAATTTTGTCCATTCATTCATCCTAATAAAATATCTTCTTAAAAGCAATTAAAATTATAAAATCATTATTTTTTGTGTGAAAACTCAGAATTTAAGACCCTAACATGGACTTGTTTGGGCTTGCCTTGAGGGGCGTGGCAAGGGGGTCCGGGGGCGGAGCCCCTGGCCCAGCTGCTAGACTCAAAAAAAAGGAAAAAGCGTCAAATTTTCAAAAGGCGCATGCCTGGGCTAAGGTGCACCAGGCGCACCAGGTGTGCGCCTTTTGAATGGGCTGCGCCTAGGACCTGGGCGAGGCGCCTACCCTAAAATGTGCCTTGCCCGTGCACCTAGCCATGCCTTTTAAATCACTGCATGGAACTTCTATTTAATCAAAAGAGATGCATTTTAGTGAAAACCTGAAATTCTTATTGCTGGTATAAGGTTTTAACTCTGAGGGCATTACAAGATTTTCATCACCCTTGAGATGTTTTAGATGTTTGGTCTGCAATGTTGCAACTATATGCTCACCATAAAAGAATCATATTACCTTACGGCTTAAGGTCTATCATGTTCTAGAATCTCCTTATTGAGTCACAACCCAAGAGATCAATTGCTTATTCTGTACTTGGACATTTGTAGCATCCATTGCACATGTTCTCTTATATATTTTTATGCTTTCAGGAAAGCATCTCCAGTTCTTGAGTCTGTGGTTCTTCACATTGATCAGCTTACAAGGAATGTCAATGAAGGCCACTTGAGAGAAATATTCAGTAAGTTGTCTTTCTTGTTATTATTGTATTCAAATTATGATGGACAATGGATCTTTTTGGAGCGTTTGATGTCCGTTCTTCTTTAATTCATATGCCTATATTTATTATTTCTGTTTGATTTTCTCTTTGGGCATCATGTGAGCTGAGATATGCCTAGATCCTTATTTCCCAGGTTGTTATTAGGTTGTATTCATGAAACTTTCTGAGGACCCTTGGTTATTGTAAATTTGTAATGCCTTATTATGGCCAAACTGGGTCTAGGTTTTAAATACAGTTGCTTAGGGTGGTTCAACCCCATTTTAAGTCTATTCAAGTTTGGGTTTGGCTGGTGCCTGTCATATTCAGCATAAATTTGGTCCAATAGTTATGCCGATTTCTCAAGGACGTCGTTGTCCCTCCAGTTCAACACTATTTCTGTTGTTCTTTCTCAATAATTTTGCCTTTAAGGTAAATAGCACAGTAAATGCTACCTCATTTGTTAGTATATGATAATTTGTTTAATTTTGTCTTGCAACTTTGCCCTTAGAGAAGCATATTAAATGCTATCATGCAAACTTATCCACAAAGTAAGTAGCATATTAAATGCTATTTTTTTTGAAGCCATCATATTGAATGCTATCATTTATTATTAGGATGGAGAAAAGTTAGGATCATATCCTTTTTTCACTTGACATCTAGCTTCATTCCAAGAGGCTTTGCTTTGTAATGTGTCCTGTCACCTTTATAATACAAAGTACCAATAATATATATGAGAAAGAAATTCCAGTTATTGTCTAGCTAGATTGCTTTCTATTTAATGAGAGTGTGTTGAACTGTTGATTAGGTGAATGAATGTTTTTGAACTAGATGCTTGGGAGGGCGCCTCCCTCAAAAGGTGGAAAATACACCAAGGGTCTCTGAACGCTTATGGTGGTAAATTTCCTAGTTCCAGGTTAGTTGATGAGGCTGAGCTAATGGAGTTTGGATGGGCTTGCACACAACATGCCCCACAGCCCATCCCCCTCGTCCACAAGGATTGAAATATCGCAACATATTGGGGCGTTATGACTGATACATATTGTATTGCTGATCCTTTGATACGCCACTATACTTAGGTGGCATTTGTTAACACTTTTCAGACCTCTGAAAGATGAAAATGTTGATTTTCAGACGTCAGAGGTGTTTGGAAGTGTATCTGAATTTGGGTCTGAAAATTATTTTCAGATCTGAAATAATAAGACATGGGCCAGGCGCTGAATGTGTTCAGATGCGTTTCAGACCTGGCCGAAAGTCCAAAATACCCTCAGATCTCACACACACACACACACACACACACACTCTCTCTCTCTCTCTCTCCTTTCTTTTTCTCTTGCCGCTGCAACCAAATAGTCTAATTTAGGGGTAAAATAGTAAAATTAGTGAACTTTAGACGATGAAGGTTTGATCCAACACAAACAACCTTTATTCAGAACCTCTAAAAAGTCAAAAAACAACAGTCTCTTTTCAGATTTCAGACACTTTTAATATCTTTTTAACTTTTCAGATTTATCAAACGCCACCTTAGTGTTTTGGGGGTCCCACCTATTTCAGGGGAGTAGATGGGCCTTAAACCGACCTCCCTAAACCAGTTTGAAAGAAAAAAAGACTAAAAAAATTTAAGGCAGCCTTCGATGCAGGATGATATGCCCCATCCGGTGTATCAGCCTGTGTCTATATTTTGAACCTTGCTCATGCATTGGGAACACCTCCTCTGCAACTCATGGGGAGATGTTCCCAATTCATTGGAGGGATGGGCTGTGGGGCGCTCTCTGTGGGAGCCTAAACTGTTTTTAGCTAATGGGTGTTTATCAAGGCTTAAAACTTGCAGCTTCCAACAATTGGAAAATCCTTTTGACTTGTCTGGATAGCCAAGTTGCTTTGAATGTTTTACAAACTCGTGGATCTGCGTCCTAGCAATGCCTTCCTCTCATTTTGTTATGTACAAAGATAAACTAATACTCTGGCTCATTCCTTGGCCCCCAGCAAAGAGCTTTACTGAATCCTTTGTAATCTTTGATGTACCGAATGTTAGACAGTTTGTAAATTTTATTTTCAGCTCATATGGTTTATTTATTCAGCAAAAAAATCCAGCAAAGGTCTTCAAAATGCAGGACATTGCATCACCACTCCCTGCCTTACCTCATAACATTGTGAGATTGTGAACTCCTTCCTACTTAAACCATACAAAACTTGGACATAGTTCACAATGTTTTTTTTTATTTTTTTAATAATTACATAGTTCACAAAGTTTCCCCACTTCTAACCATTCATCCTCTCATAACCTGATAGTTGACCCATTCCCCACCCTAAGGTTGCAACAAAGAATTATGTTTCATGATACCCTTCCACTCTCTCACCCCATAAGATGTTTTCACTTCCCTTGGAGCCCACCCAAAATTCACTATATTTGCAAGCCACCACTGTCCTGCATGTTGCCTCCCTCTCCGGATCTCTCTACCAAACCTTGAAATCCATTTGCCCAGCACAGCTTTGTTGAATGTTTTAACCGTCTTTTTTCCCACCTTACCAATTGAAATTTCTTTTGTTCCACCTTTAAATTCCATAAAATTTTCCTTTGAAGCCTTTTAATCTCTTCTACAATGGATGCTAGTGCCTTTAAGGGGAGACAATAATATATCAGTGAATTGAAGAGAAACCTTTTTATATGATTGTGATTCATCCATCAAAAGACAAATACTTCCCTTTTCTGTCACACTAAGTCGCCAACCACTGTTCTATTCTATCCAATGTAGGCTGCGAAGCAGGTGGAGCTACCACCCTTGCCATAGCCGGTAGTTGAGAATAAGTGAAAGGGAACCCACCAATCATGCAACCCAACATTCCAGCACACTCAAGAATCGGCTGTTGAATGTCAGCTACTCAAGAACTGGCTGCTGTGAACGTCACCCATTCCAATCTTTATGCTCTAGGGTCATTCTTTAGACCCAACAGCAATTCAAGCCCCGTGTTTTGCTAGTACATCTGTCATTCCATTTGCTTCTTCTAACCCAGCTAAAGGTGGTACTGGTATCAACTTTTTGCTACTTGATTTATTTATTTATTTTTCCTTGATTAAAATTGAGAGAAAAGATGAAAAGAGAGGAAGAGATATTAAAGGGATTGGGAGTTGTTGTTCAATGGATACCTAGGTCTGCAAAGAGTCTCATAGATGGGCAGGTGAAACAGGGGGCAACTAGAAATTCTATGTATTGGGGAACAATTGAGGTTAGCTGAGGCTGACCGTCTCTCCACTATTATGCAACTACACTTTTGCAATTAATATAATTTACATTGGTTCTGATCAAAAAGGAAAAAAAAAGAGAGGAGAGAGAATAATAAAAAGAGAAGAAATGTCCACCTTTAGAGAGTAAAGAAACTGCTGACTGTGAGTGCTTTCATTAATTTTTATAATATAAGATATAACCTAGAAGTCACTTGCTCAAAATAAACAAGACAATCAATGATAATCTAATCAAATTAATGATCGTGATAGCCGTCTTTGAATTATCCTGGGAATTTATATTTTTTGGTTGTGTATCATTTTCTACCTTTCCTAGAACTTATTTGGGTGATGTTAGGATGTAAGATTACGTATCTATGCCTGACTAAAATTTTCATTGTTTTGTTCTTATTTGCTATATAAGTCTGAATATTCTGTTGGTGTCTGATTTGCATGTACTCGTTAATCTAGGTGGCCTATCTGACAGCACACTGTTTTCTTTCTGCCTTGCAGGTAACTTTGGTGAAGTTGTGAATGTGGAACTGACAATGGATCGTAGTGTAAGCTTGTCAATTTTTCCTTATATGTTATACATTTCAACATGCCTATCCAACACTACATGTAATATTCTATTTGATATCTCTTTGCAGGTTAATCTTCCACGGGGATATGGATATGTCGAGTTCAAGACCAGAGCTGATGCAGAAAAAGCCCTTCTTTACATGGATGGTGTATGGCTTCATTTGATGTTTGTCTATAGAACAATTGGCATTGTGAAACCATGGTTATTGTTCTGTATCTTATCATTTCACTTGTGCAGGCACAAATTGATGGGAATGTTGTTCGTGCAAGGTTCACCTTACCTCCACGGCAGAAAGTTCTGTCACCTCCAAAGGCTGTCCCTGCTACTCAGAAGAGAGAAGGTCCCCAAAAGGATAATGTTGGTGCTGATATTGAAAATGATGGTCAACAACGACAGAGAGAATGTAGGTCCATATTAAGGCATTGCTTTATTCTCACAGTACAATTAATTGTGTTGCACTCTATAACTTTGTTTATACTTGATTTTATCAGCTTCTCCACGTCGGAAACCTCTTTCACCCCCACGGAGAAGATCTCCTGTTGCTCATAGAAGAGGTGAATCACCTCGCCGGCGGCCCGACTCTCCTCAACGTCGACGTGTGGAGTCTCCTGTTCGTCGTCGTGGAGAATCTCCATATCGCCGTGGTGAAACACCTCCTAGGAGGAGGTTGTCATCACCAGCTAGAAGACGTTCTCCATCCCCTCCAAGGCGACATAGGTCACCAGCACGGTACCCATCACTTATGTGCTCATTCATGGACGTGATTAATCTGACAACTCTTGAGTAATTGTTTTTGACTTTCTTTTCTGAATTTTTGATAGAGCTTCTCCCCGAAGGGTACGTGGTAGTCCAGTCCGCAAACGCTCCCCCATTCCACCAAGGCGGCGGTAAGCTGGTCTTAGTTGCTAAAACTTAAGGTTCCATCTATATTTATTATAAATAAAAAAATTTATACCCAGTTGGAACTTGATCTTGAAAATTTGCATGCTGCCAGTTTGGCATGTAAGCTTTTGTGTTTGGTTTCACAGTGGTTGGAGTGAAATTATTTGCTTTTCCCTGATCAAAATTGTTCCTCTTACTCATGCTATTATTAGAAAGTTGCTAGGCAATTGTAATTTCCTTATGGAGAGAGGGTATTTTTTTCTGTGCCTTTGGTTTGTAGAAAATTAAATGTATTGCTGGAATGCGTGCCCACCGGATGTGAAGATTTATAGTAGAAGGAAAATTTTTTCTTGTGTTACTTTTCTTTCCTTCCATATCTTGACACACAGGCTTTTGCTTGGTCTGTTGGCCTTAATTCAATAATGGAGATCAAATGCAAATATTAGGAAAGGAGTGGGCATTTATTCTTAGTAGTGAAGAAGGGAATGAAGTGATATGAACTGCTAATCACTTAACACAAAGATTTATTAGTGCTTACAATCATGTTTTTATTATTTTTACTATTTTTATTTTTTTGGTACTTCTAGTTTGGTTTTATTAAAATTGAATATTCTGGTAAATGAAAAATAACTGGAAGAAATGCACTAGCCTGGTCCATTGAACTTTAAAAGTTCTCATTGTCAGTTTGCTTGTATATTTTCAATACATTCTAAAAATTCTGGCAAAAATATCTGATTAAAGGGAGAAAATACAATGGAATTTTCTGAGCAATGTTGGGGGAAAGGGAAGAGGTTACACCTGGATAAAATAGGATAAGGTGTGTAGATGTTTCTTTTCTTTAACACCTGCCATTAGGTTGTATTATTTTCTTATCCTTAATATAATTTTGCCTTTACATTCCAAAAAAAGATGTTAGCAGATTTGGAGATTACAAAAATTAAAGAAATGAATAGGTTTCTCTATAGGAGAAAATGCTATGGAGATTAGTAAATGGAAGAATCTATTATGGAGGAAATTGGTGTTTTGCAAGTATGGGGCAACTAGATTAGTAGGGAGGTTTCATCTTCTGATGGAGTTAGTCTGGAATAGATAATGAAATTCCATTCAAAATTTGCAAGATTCATCAAGTTTGTTGTGCTGGATGGAAGCAAGGTGAGATTTTGGGAAATATGAGTTGTGTGGTGAAGGGAGGTTGTATGAAATATTCCAGAGTTGTATATGTTGAGTTTAAAAAGAAATGTTGAGTGATTTCTTTGGTGGGGGGGTGATGTAGAAGAGGGAATTGGGACTTTTATTGTATATTGGATATGTGCTCCTTTTGCAAAGTGAAAATTCCTTCATATGTGATTATGATTTTTTTTTTGTGTAATGTAAATATTGTTATACTTTTTGCTTTTTGTAACAATTTTCATGTTGGTGTGAGTTATCAAAATTTGTTTGTCATCGTCTCTTTTTTGGTATTGTGGAGTTATTCTACTTTAGAAATATATATATATTTTTTTGTATTACAGATCTCCCCCTAGACGGGCACGTAGTCCCCCTAGAAGGTCTCCTATCAATCGTAGGCGCAGTCGTTCTCCAGTTCGTAGGCTTGCTCGCTCACGTTCAAGATCAGTCTCTCCTCGCAGGTAGTTTTGATTTAACATTCTAATAATGCCCATGTGCATGTGATCTTATTTGCATGCACATGGATGAGTGTGCGTGTGGTTGTCCCCTTGCTCTCAAAAGAAAAAAACAGTTAACATGGTTTATGTTATGGAGAAAAAGATTTTGGAAATTTCAAAAGCTTTGTATAATTTATATATGTTATGCAGAAGAAAAACACTATTAAAAGTACAGTATTGTATTGCTTCTCTGATCTTGTTGCAAAATTGGAGTTTTATGAGTTATATATGCTTGATCATGTAAATGTTAATAGTTAACTAAGTGACATAGTTGAATGGTAGAGTAACTTGGAGAAACTTGATAATCTGGTCAAGCCTATAATTTTATAGAATGATTTTTTCAGAGCAACTAGAAAGATAAATTCTTTTAGAAAAAAGAATTTGAAACATACATTTTTTTTAGGAAAATAGAAAGTACAAGAAGAAAAAGGATGGGAAGAGGCAACAACTTGATGCACATTTCCAGACTAGGCTGAAAAGGGACACAAAAGAAGCTCTTGGCACTTGCAATGGGGACTGATTTCCCAGGGGAAACTTGTAATGTCAAAAATGAAAGAACATTAAGGAAAGAAAAGTTTGGGGAAAGTTGGCCATACGAAGAGGTGACTAGCATAGTGATGTAAATACAGAATTCTTTTATGCTAAATTAATAAAGTCAACAGTTTTTTTGATAGTCATTAATGAAGACAACAGTTATCGGATAAAAAAAATCTCTCTGTGCATTTGTAAACTCCATATTGATCATAATCCAGTCCACAACTAGCTTTCCTTTTTCTGAACGTAACCTTTCATTGCACTTGACCCTTCCTTTGAAAAGTCTTCTATTTCTTTCCTTAAATTCCTCAAAATACTGCATATTGAATAAAGCTCTAAATAGTTTGTGCCTTTTTGCTACAATGCATCTTGGCTATGAAGCAAAAGTCTCTACCCAAACCATCCAGCCAAGTTCAAATCTCTTACCTTTATAGTGGCCAACTCAGTGATTTAAAAGGCGCGTCTAGACGCACAGGCAAGGTGCATTTTAGGTAGGTGCCTTGTCCAGGTCCTAAGCGCAACACTTTCAAAAGGCACATGCCTGGTGTGCCTAGGCACGTGCCTGATGCGCATGGTTTGGGCTTGCCTCGAGGGGTGGGGCACAAAGGCGGCTCATAGAATCAGGAATGTAATATGTTTTACATCACATTAACTACTTGAAGTAATGCAATTGAGGAGAAAAGAGATTGTGGGCTTTACACACTTGAAATTAGGTATCTCCTGCATTCTGATGTGTTGCTGTATGTAGACTGAGGTGCTTTTTGGATGGACTTTTCTAAGGTTGATTTTTTTTTTGTACAAAAAGTACCTTGGGTGTTTGTTTTCAAGTAAGATCTCGATGTAAACGCACAAAAGAGCCCAAAAGTGCAAAGCCATATTTCTTGACGCCATGCTTCCAGTCAGTGTATTACTTTGCATTTCAAGTGATCATGTGATGATCACATGACTTCTCCCCTTTGCCATTAATAGCAGTAGATATATTTTATTAATTTATTCAGTAAAGCAAGGAAAATTCTTAAATCATTAAGGAAAAAATAATTAAATAAGACAAATAAAATGAATAATAAATAGAAAAATAATTAAATAATTGATAATAATAATAGAAAAATTAATGAACTAATTAAATCAAATTGGGAAATACATAAAAATTAAGAGAAATATTAAAATATGTTATATAATAAATAAATAAATAAATTGTTAGGAAAAATAATATAATTTAACAGCAAATAGCCATGTGGCATACATGATGCGCCATGTGGAAATTAAGCTGGTTGGTAAGGTCTTCTGTTGGTTGTAGCAAAGACTTGGGATCGAATCCTGCTTGCACTTGGGTTGGGGGACAGGCTACCCCCTGTTGTATAGCCCTTCAAAAGAAATAAAAAATTAATATGAATAGAACTCCACATTGCACTTATGAATACTTGTGAATGTCAAAGCCTGAAAGTATGTTACTGTATCTAAACATATGTTCTTGCTTTCTACGGCAAAACCTATGCTATTAAAACATATGTTCTTAATTACTTCTGCCATTTTTTTTATTACAGGGGTCGAGCATTAGCTCAAAGACGTGGGAGGTCTTCTTCATCTGAATCTAGTCCTCGAAAGGTCTCCTCAATCTTTGTATTGCAATTTTAGATCAAGCAGTTTATCTTTTTCCGTTCTTGTACATGAATCATGTGGCTAGATCTTATATCAAACAACAGTGCATCACAATGGAACCATATTGATATATATGTGGTTGTATTTATGAGTTGCAATTACAAGGCTGTGGGACCCAGGATGACATGTTTTATAACTTCAGCCTCTCTTTATCTTACATGGTTTATCTAGATGACCTTGCTCTGTTGAACTTGGTGTCTATTATTCTAGTTGATATTCTATTTAAAAGTTGAAACTTTTAATGGTGGCTTTTAGTGTTGGAAAAAAGCCATATATTCATATATTTTATATTATCTATATATTATAAATGAATGCATATGCATTAAATATAAATATATGTATATATTTATAATACATAATATATTATTTATTATATATAATATAATATTTTATATATTTATAGTTTATTGTTTATTTATTTATAATATATTATAAAAATAAAAAGCCGAATAATTGACGAACCAAACTGGCGGATAACCCAACCGGTCAACTAGTTCACCAATAGGCTTTGATTTGGTTTTGGTTACCGGTTTTCCAAAAACTTGTACTACCGGTTTGGTTACCGAACTGTGAGCACCCCTACCGGTAGACAAGGAAACTGGTTACCTGTTTAATTTGCTTAGTCTTGATGAATAGATGGCTTGGGTTAATGTCAAATTCCCCTTCGGGAGACATGCATTTTTTAAGCATTTGATACTGATGAAAATGCTTTTACAAGCAATTTGGAAACTTGAATATCTTTGTGCAAATTCCAACTAATTCTCTATTTCACGACAGGTATCCAGGAGAATTTCAAGGAGTCGTAGTCCAAGAAGGTAGTTTATCATAAATTTATTTTTAATGGTTTACAATATTCATGCTCATGAATAAAACATCTTTCTTTGATTTATGATCATCTTCGGATTGGTTCTTTGATTTTGATGCTGCTGGAAAGACATGATACATGATGGGCTTTGACCAATCATCTTCCCCCTCCCTAAGAAGAGAAAAATTTTGGAAAAGGGCAAGAAATCATGTTGCTGCCCTTTTTTCTTGTATACACAATTGGAGCTCAGACCAGCAATTGGGCTTCAACCACTACTTAATAGATACTCCAATGCTCATATTAGAACCAAGCATTCTCATCTAGATTGACCTGTCTCTTCTACATGGAACTTTTTTGTTTGTTCTGATACTAACTTGTCTTGTAGAAGAAAGAGAAAGGAGTTGTGGGAGGAATTGGCGGATGTTAGATGGTTGTGGGATGGGCTCTGGTGCATGGGTGGGGACTTCAATGTGATTAGATTCTCGAAGGAATCCAATGAAGTTAACCAGAGAGTGACAAAAAGCATGAGGAAGTTTAACAACTTTGTGGATGACTTTGAGCTTAAAGAGTTCCCCCTTGCTCATAAGACATGGTCAAATCTCCAATCTAGACCCATTTGTTCTAAATTGGATAGATTCCTATTCTCTCTGGATTGGGAAGTCCATTGGGGAACCTTGGCTTCTAGAGCTCTTCCAAGGGTGACCTCCGATTATTGGCCCATAGTGTTATGTAAGGAGGAAAGAAGGCGTGGAGGTCCTACCCCCTTTAGATTTGAAAATATGTGGTTACTCCACCCAAGGTTTAACAACAAAGTG